TGTTATTATAATAGTAAGTACATGTAACATGTGTAACACGGACAAGTGTTACCCTGCTTGCAAATACAACTGATTAAAATGACTAATTTACTAATGTAAATTATTAAACTTGTCTAACAGAGATACTGTAATGTGTTACCACATTTATTGTCTGCAAAATGATTCATCAAAGAAAACACATTTTATTATTTTATTTTTTAAACAGAGTTTGATGTTTTGGATTAAAAATTAAAGTAGTAATATAACAATCATTTCACAGCTAAGCATGTATAAAGTTGACAATTTTTTTTTTTTTTTGCTCTTTCAGATGGGCCTTTGGGTTACAAGTCTGACTCTCTAACCATTAGGCCACGACTGCCCTGGTAGTAGTGAGTAGTCTGTCTAGCACACAGTAATACATGATCATTTATTTATTATTAGTTTGTTACTGTTTGCTATTACTGTTATAATCAATTCAAAGCAACATGCTTGAAAACCACTCACAACACCTTAGCAACACATTCCATTGCCCTGACAACCACTCACAACATAGATTTCGTGAAAGTCAGTAAATGTCACAAATGATAATATGTATGTCCCATTAACTGCCATTCTACAGGAATTCAGTGCGTCTTGTCATCAGAAAAGTGCAGTATGCTCCAGAGAAGCCGGGCCCACAGCCAATGGCTGAAACCACAAGGCAGTTTCTCATGTCAGACAAGCCTTTACACCTGGAGGCCTCACTTGACAAAGAGGTAGGGATGTCTGGTTATTCTGCTGGTCTGGATAAGATATCTGACTATTGAGGAAAGACAACATAGATAGAGAGAGAGTTCAGCTAATTACTAATCCAAGTTAATCCAATGACAACGCGTACATCTAGTGATGGAACCAGGGTATTACATCTGAAATCCTGCAGGCACAATGTTATAGTAGTAGTAGATAATAATAATAATAATAAAACATGCTTTTTAAAAAATTTTCTCTTCATTTTGTAATATGTTCTGATGACCTTATGAAAACTCACGCAGACATTATTGAAGCTTTAAACAAAAGATAATAATAAAACAATTCTAGAAAGACATTTGGCATGAATGTATAATGCTACAATGCATTCACAAAATCAGGAATCTGAAAATTAATTAGATTTATTTAATTATAGTTTTAGACTCAGCATGTCTTTATGGACTTTTGGCATGTTATTAAATGTAATGTCTGTATGTGTATATATACATACACACATGGGATCTCTCCCCGAACAAAACAGAATCACTCAAAAATTAGTTAGGCCTTTTCATCCATTTGGATTACATAATTTTAACATTTAGTAATAAACTTAATGTGCTGCATATTTTTTTCAGACTTTAAACAGGTAAGAAATTATTAAAATCCTAAAACTATATTCATAAATTGTAAAAAATGTAACTATTTGCATTTTATTTGATTGAAATAATCACATTTTCAGAATCAGTTAGAACCAGCATAAATCACGAAAGGGGTTAAAATATGGCTAGCTTTGAAACAAGCAATATTCAGTTTTCTGAGGAAAAAA